CATCAATTGCACCCGACCACAAAGCAATTTATACGTCCTTGTCTTGGTCGTGTGAAACCACGAGGGGACCCGGACTCTGGAAATTCAATAATACCCTTTTAAAAGATGAAGAATACGTGGAGTGGGTTCGTAAAACCTATTCAAACACCGTAAGATATTACCGTCAAGCAACAAGCAAAGGTCTCCTGTGGGAGCTAATCAAAATGGAAATTAGGAATGCGACTATCTCGTATGCGAAACACAAAGCAAAAGTATCCAGAGACAGGGCAGAGGATATTAAACGCCAGCTCGAACAGCTAGACGACACTATTTGTAATAACTTTTTCTCGCCAGATACTAATCAAATCTTGCTGCACTATGACAACCTTAAATCCGAACTTCAGTCTCTGTACGAAAATAAAGGAAAGCAAGCGATGTTTAGAGCGAAATGTCGTTGGGTAGAACAGGGCGAACGACCAACAAAATATTTTTTCAATATGGAAAAAGGAATTATAATAAAAAGACCATAAGGGAACTTCGCCTAGAAGATGAATCCACTACAATCAATGATAAACAGATCCTCGACCAAATTGAAGTTTACTTTAGAGACTTGTACACATCAGCAAAAGCATTCTCTCAAGAGGAATACGATGAATTTACACAGCATTTGCAAATACCAAAACTTTCAGATGACGATCGGGACAACTTGGAAGGTCCTCTAAGTTATGATGAGTGCAAAAATGTACTAGAATCTTTCCAAGGTGATAAGGCGCCAGGTGAAGACGGATTCACCGTGGAATTCTATAAATTTTTCTACGACCTATTAGGCGAAAATCTTCTGGCATGCTTAAACGAGGCTTACGAGAAAAATGAACTTACCATCTCGCAAAGAAGGGGCATTATTACTTTATTACCAAAGGAAGACGGCTCTTTACTCGACCTGCATAACTGGAGACCGATAACCCTACTGAATGTCGATCAAAAAATCGCTGCGAAAGCAATAGCTAAAAGATTAGAAACGGTTTTGCCGAACTTAATACACCCAGACCAAACAGGCTTTGTAAAAGGACGCTACATTGGGGAAAACATTAGACTTATAAGCGATGTTCTAGACCTAACAAAAGAGCAAAAAATTCCGGGCATTCTTATAGCTCTTGATTTTCGTAAGGCTTTTGATTCTCTCGAATGGCCCTTTATTATGAGAATTTTAGATGCTTTTAATTTTGGTAGCAGCATAAAACGTTGGATAAGTACATTCTATACGAACGTGGAGAGCGCGGTGTTGAATAATGGGTACACAACGAATTGGTTCAAACCGTCGAAAGGTGTGAGGCAAGGCTGTCCTCTCTCACCGTATCTGTTCATCCTCTCAGCCGAATTAATGTCCATAAAACTACGCTACGACTCGGGGGTCAAAGGCATTAATTTGTTTGGCAACGAACTTAAACTATCACAATTTGCAGACGACACAAATCTGTTTTGTGCAGATTTAAATTCCGTGGAAAAAGCTTTAAATACAGTCAATGACTTCGGTAGGATAGCTGGTTTACAGCTAAACATGAAGAAAACAAAAGCGATTTGGCTTGGGAAGTGGGCTAACAATAAAACCAACCCGTTGGGCATGAAGTGGACGCATACCCCGGTTCGGATCTTAGGAATTCACTTCTCGTACGATAAGAAGGGGAATGATGACCTTAACTTTAGCCTGAAATTAAGGAAGCTACAAACAAAATTGGATATGTGGAGTGCTAGAAGCCTCACGCTATTTGGAAGAGTTTTAATAACCAAAACTCTAGGTATCTCACAGATCATTTATTCCGCTTCAAATATTGAAGTTCCTGATACAATCGCAGACACGCTGAAAAGAAAGTTGTTTAACTTTATATGGAAAAAGAAGAAGGATAAGATCAAACGAACCGTGCTTTACCAAGATTTAGAGGAAGGTGGGCTACGCATGACAGATGTAGATCTTATGTTTAAAGCCTTGAGACTTGCATGGATCCCTAGACTTTTGAATGCTGGAGATAAAAATTGGTGCTCTGTGCCAAACCACTATTTCAGGAAAAAGGGGGGCTTAAATTTTCTTCTAAAATGCAACTACGACACAAGGTACTTCCCTCAATTGCCAGCCTTTTATAAGAACATTCTCAAATTCTTTCAAGAATTAAAAATACTTTACGGTTACGACCAGGAAAGTGATGTAGTACTGTATAATAATAAAGAAATTCTAGTAGATGAAACACCCGTTTATCTCAGCAACTGGATGGAGAAGGGTATCGTTTCTATTAAAGACTTGTTGAAGGAGGATGGTAGCTATCTCTCATTCCAGGAATTTAAAGGAAAGTTTTCTTGCAAGACAAACTTCCTCCAGTATTTTCAGATTATTAGTGCCATACCTGACCGGCTACGGTCGAAAGCAAGACAAATAGAATCAGTTAATAATCAGTTTTTCACAAGTAATGATCATTTTTTTTCACCTCAACGGAAATTTCACGCTCAACCTTGATAAAGCCAAATCAAGGGATTTCTATAATCTTTTAATTGCTAAAATCCACACAGGAGGTCAGGCAGGTCCTAAAAGATGGAGCGAAATACTTTCTTTGAATGATGAAAAATGGGCAAAGATATTTAAGTCAATACGAAAGCTGTGCAAAGAAACAAAACTAAAAGAATTTCAATTCAAGTTTATTCATAGAATCGTGGTGACAAAGAGAGAACTATTCAAATATGGTATTAAAACTGACGAAGAATGCTGCTTTTGTGGGGAAAAAGACTCAATCGATCACACCTTTATTCACTGTCCCTTTACGAAATCATTCATACAGAAAGTCATTCGGTGGTTTAACACAACGTACAATTCACAGTTCTCTCCAACTACGGAGGAACTTTTATTCGGAATTACCTCCAACTTAAACGAGAATAGTACCACCAAGAAATTCGACTACGTCACACTATTCATGCGTTATTATATCTATAGTTGTAAACTTAACAACAAGCCCATTGTCCTCCACGACTTTGTGAATGCAGTTCACCAAAGGGACCTAATTGAAAATACCGTCAATAACTAGCTCCTGACAAATGCGGTTAAAATATCTCAACTCTCTTTAAAAAATACAAAATAAAATAAAAACAAAATTTAAATAATAAAAAAGTAAATAAATAAAAAACTTAGTGGTACACCTGCCAACAGTGAAACTCTCACCAAAACACTTCAAACAATACTCCTTACGTTCTTTTTCTTTTTTTCACTTCTGTTATAGTTCCTCATTTAATGTATCAAAGTCTCAATGCACAAATGTAATTTAGCAGTAATAGCTTTTCAATCAACGTATTGTATTCGGATATGGTAAAGTTATCGTTTTATGTTATTCATATTGTATTATTGAACTTTATTGTAAGTAGACTAACATCTCCCTTTGGAGAGTACGGCGCAATAAAGAGATACTATTAAAAAAAAAAAAAAAAAAAAAAAAAATTTCCATGTGTTTCAAAGTTATCTTATTTATATTCATTTCAGACAAAAGCGGAGTTTTTGAGAGTGCAATACTTGTATTCCGTCTTTCCCCCGACAACCTGTAATGATGCAATGATCATTTACCAGTCTTGTTGACTATATCATAAGGCTGGTTATGTTTTACCCATGGTAGTAGTTACCGCATGCATATCCAAATAAATCAGACTAAAAGCCTTCGCCTCTATCCTAGCTATCACTATTGAGGAGAGAAAGCAGAAGTTAGTTTCTTCGCAGCTTTTCTTTACTTTATCGGCCCTCCTGTCCTCAATCCTAACTAAGGCTTGCTCTCTTTGGTACCTCTGGTTTTTTTTTTGCTTACAAGCTCGAACTAGCAGTGCTTAGCAGGTCCGCCCTTGAACTGGAATCGCCTCTATTTCCGCTATTTTAGTTTTTTCCGAAATTACTCGCCGAAAGAGCCGAGCACTAGATATCATTTTCAAAAATGTGGCGACGATGCGAGTTACCACAAAAGCAAATATAAAGAACCAGTGAGGTTCTTGATATTGGGTTTTCAGCTGAAGCCTTTAATTCTAAAATCATTAGGAGATCGATATCTGCTTTTAAGTTCGCAAGCGAAGAAACGAAAGTTCGAGGGAACAAAAAGAAAGAACAGGAAAGGATCGAGGAACGACAGAAGGAAGAAACGAGAACACAACAGAAACAAAGAAAAAAATTAACGAAGGTACGAGGGCACGAGGGGGCGAAGAAACAGAAAAAGGAACATGTTCAATAGAACAGAACGGCGGAACGAAGGTTTGAACAAATAAAGTATCGAAAAATCAAATTAAACAGTGGTGCTGTGTATGTGCAATAGGAGTGAAATCAGAATTGCTGCCTGACATATTTAAATAATTTTTTGCAATTGAATCTAAATTGTGTTACAAATGGAGACTGTAAAGTTTGCTCGCTACCAATTGTTTGTTTCTGCATTTGTTTTTACGCACTTTCTGATTGCAATCTTTACACAGCGAGATTAAATTGGAATTTCATATAAAATCCAAGGAACCACAGATATTGTTTGGGAGTTATTTTGTGCAGCCTGGTTAAATATTTATCAATCATTTGTCCACACCATTGCGAGTTTAATATGTTTTACTGCCAACTTGTGTTTTTTAAATCTTGATGTGCCTGAAGTAGACCCCTGAATATTTAATCCTTCAAGAAATCTTTTAGCAGCTGGATATGAATGGGATATAACTTTATATTCAATCAAACAAACGAGCGAGTATGCTTTTAAAGCCGGCTTACATCAATGTTAAGATTGGCTTCGACCAGCTAACTCTAGTGCATGTGAAAAAGAATCACTCTAGAAAAAAGAAACGAAGTCACCGCAAACGTCTACAACATATAAGATAGGCCCACACATTATGATAAATAGAATAATTATTTGGTTCACTTATGTCGGTACAATCTGACAGTTTTTAGGGAAAATTAATAACGTGGAGGGGGAAAAAAGATTTTAAGAAAGACTCCTCGGCCAGTAAAAACAATCATTAAGTCAAATATATTACAGAAAGTACAACTCTACCTTTTTTTCGCGTCGGCCACTTAAACTTTCTCCTCTCGAAGACTCTCTGTGGAAGAGCTTTCTTCCTTGACAATAAATTAAGTTGTGTAAGACAGCTCTAAAACCACTACGATAATTCTCGCTATAGATTGCGTAGATGAACGGATTAACAGCGCTTGTGGCTTGGCAAAGAAAATACCCAATAAATTGAATCACCCCACGGACAGAGCATCTCTCATTACCAGTATAAACTAGGAATTGAAATATGTATATCGGGAGCCAAAATAGAGCGAAAACTACAATTACCGTGACAAGCATTTTAAGCACTTTCTTATTTGATTTCTCGACTTCTTGATAGTTGGCCTTTGCGCGAAATTTGACGGAATTCCCTCGCCATAACTCGATAACGATTGCCGTGTAAAGTACCGCTATAACTGTGAGTGGTCCTGCGTAAAGAAAGCCAAACTGGACGAAAGTGTAATCACTCCTAGCTTTGCTGCTGTTGAAAAGAGGCTCCCAGACTTCCTTACAAGTAAGTTTGTCGCTTCCGTCTTCCACGACAGTCCTGTTAGCATACAGAACAGGAGCTGTCAACATGGCACCTATCAGCCAAGTAAGAGCGACGAGGACTTTTGTTGTCCGGCGGTTGATGATTTTTCGAAATGGAAACAGGATGGCGAAGAAACGGTCAAAGGCGATAGCGGTAAGAGATAATATGGAAACTGCTAGCGAGACTTGCTGTATGAAGGTGACAAGCTTGCAAATCAGGTCAGCTGTTATCCCACGAACCAACAAATAATCTCCTACGTAAATTGTTCGAATGGATGGAGGAGTTGTGAAGACCGCAAAGAACATGTCACTTACAGCCATGTTTACTATAATGAAATTTGTTGTTGTCCTCATTCGTCTTTTCTTGTACACCACCAGTATAACCAATGTATTTCCAAAAAGAGATGCAAGGATGATAACGCAGTAAGAAATTGTCTTCCAAGCTTTTGTTAAATCCGTGTCAGGACTTGTGGATGAGCAGAGCAAATCAGGTCTCGATGTACCATTTTCAAAAGTGTTATTGTTTGTCATATTTGAACCACCCATAGTATCCGAGACTGTTTTCAGAGCTTCGAAATATTTCTGTAATGAAAATACGTGATAAACTCGATATGTCTCTGTTTGCTCGACTCTTGAACTTTGTAACTGCAGCTGATGTACAGAATAATCTTAGCAGGGATATTCACCAAAGAGAGATCCGACGCTTTGTGGATAGTTCGACGAATTACACTGACACATCTAGACCGATGTAATTGGCTGTAAACAACCCAAGGTTTATTACTAGTCACAAATAGTTTAAACTCGTATTCGGAATCGACTGGCGAAATAAGTTTTTTTCCTCAATGTTGATTCAACAGTGATCTTCAGCGAGTAAATGTTAGCATATATAATAGGAAAAGAAAACCTTAAAATTTGGAATTTTGTCGATTAAATGGCCTTTCGGTACCTTTGATCCCAAATGAGGTTTAAAACTTAGAGAAATAAACTCCACCCTACTGCTAGACGCTTTTTTTGAGGTGCAAATGAAATAGCTGACACTTAATCCCAAACGCTTCCTGAGGCCTTTATCTACTCTGACAGTTTCGACCCTAATCCAAGCTTTTAGCTTCCAGTAGATGATTGTTTTGTCACAGAGACTTTACAAAAGGACGACGAAAATGGCGATTCTCAAAATATCTTCGCCTGGCTTGACTCGACAATTTCTCTTGATAAGATTGCACTGGGTCTGAAAACCTCATAAAGCGTTTTCCAAACTTGAACAAGCGGACAAAGTTCCGCTCTAAATAGCATGAACAATCTACACTCAGATAAGTGATGTTTTTTTTTTTCAAATTAAAATTTCTTGCCAACAGGTAAACATCATTTTTAAACAGAAGCCGAGAAAATGTCATTTGAGGTAAAGTAATATAGATTGTGATTTTCAAAAGCAAACAAAAGTCCTAAAAAAGAACCACATATTCGTGTAATTTATTCTGTACTTAAATTACTGATGATGTATTTTGGTGTTTTTAGTGAAAACTTAATCACGACATACAGGAGCGGACAAGCCCATCTGTCTACTTCTTGAAACGATCAATATTACACCTTTGATCATTGATTTAACACGTGACAGTTGGCTTTTAGCGCTCTTTGTATACAGATATTGATGAAAACATGCTCTAGAAATTTTCTTAATTGAAATTTACTCTTCTTCTTCTATAAATAATTAATATGTATCAGTCAACTGAAGTTTTCTCTGACCTACTCCATCGGTTAAAAAAACAATATTTTTCGAGCAAAGATGGTTTAATATTTTAAAATTTTATCTGTATTGTTTTACAAATGATTGATAAGGAGAAAAACTGCAAAACTCATAAAATGTAATTTTCAAATGGAATTCAGACTATCAGTCTTCACGTATTTTAGCATTACAAAGCAAGTTTCTGTCTATGTATCTTGAGGTTCAGTGAGCGTTGAACTAAACGCAGCTGCTGAAATTTGCTATAAAGGATTGTTATCTCAAAAAGCAGTTGAAAGAAAGTAATATAAAGTACTAATGACATGTTCATTATTTGTGACAAACACATCAGAACACGAAGATTGATTGCCCAGATCTAGTAACCAAAGGGTTGATGGTCTATGGCGGCAAAAATATCGCTCTGTGGTCGTTGGTTTCGTGAGGGGGATATCAGAAACGCATGTGGGAAAAATTTATGTTTACAAATGACCATTTAATGGGTGTTGAACAAAGGGAAAAAAAGAGGCGAAAGGTCCATTCAGTAGTCTGTTGCTGTTAAGACTTTATTACCTGAAAAATGACACGTCGTTATCCAACACTGTTGGATAGCTTTTTAGGTATAATGTTGGTAAACTTCACCTACGAAAATTCAAGGAAATAAGTTCTCTGTTCAATACTTCGCATCTCACATATATTTATATGACTCATGCCATATTTTAGTTCCTATGTATCACAACACCAAAGTAACGTTTAAAATCAATCAATCTGATTTTGTTACCGTGTTCAGTTTCAACTATTGGACCAGACATTTGGGAGTTCAAGATACTGTACAAGAAGCTTTGACAGTAACCATCATTGTGGCCCAAAATGACCATTTAGACGACGACCTTTTATCTCCCCTGAACTTTAAGATTTCATCATATTATTACGGTACAACCTTTCGGGACTGCACTAATACTGACGGTCGGAGGAGGATATGAAATGGTGATTGAACTGAGTGCAGTGCAATTTGGTCTGAAATCATACTTGTGATTTCAAAATCGAGTATAATTTCAGAAAAAATACCTCGACACGAGGTCCAATTACCATTTAATTAAAGTTTTTTTAATCATTGTTAGCCTCTTCATGCGAACAAGTATTATTACTCTTAAAAACAAGGACTATTCTACATGCTGTGATGCTGTTTAACGCGCGATGTTAATATTGAAAAAATTATTTGATTGAACAATATATACAAAGAATAGCACTCCTAGATCTGGAGTAATTTCGAAAGATAGTTACGCAAGCTTGACTCCAGTTAGAAATTGTTACGTAGTCTTTGAGTTAGTTCAACACAGCTTACACGATTTGTGACAATGCCTGATAACAAAGTCATACCAACTGTGTGTTGTGGTCCAACACAACTTTTTAAAGTAGTGGCAGGCTGGCAGTTCTGGACACTCTGGTTCATCTCCTGCAACTGACAAAATAACAAGATAAAATAAGGGTAAGTGATTATCCGTCGTCTTGTTTTAATTCGATTTAGGCCGATTTCAAACAGATTTTTCCCTCGCTTTTTTTTTTGCTGCGTAAAAGGCACATATTAGCCTTTTTTAAGGACGCATTTTCAAGAAATCTTAAAAATTGCCTGAACAGTAGTTAAGAGAGACAAACTCAAATTAATTTTTACTCACAGTTATCTTCAAGGGATGCTGCATCTGTTGGGAGAAGGAAAGAGGAGTATAAGCCAAAGATTTTTTTGACAGATCGATTTGGAATGTGGTGTAAAAATATGGGATCGTGTCGTTACTATTACGACAACATGATAAAGTTACAACATTTCTTGTTTGAAACAGGTTAGTGAGGCATACAGATTTTTCGTTAAAAGGTGCAGGGTTTGAAATCTTAGATGGTACACTCCACCTCAAGTATTCAAAAATATCCTCTCTTGTAGCGTCGGAGGATTCAAGGTCTACATGTAGACTCTTCCGAGGGTCGATAGTGGTAAATGAACGGTTTATTACAAACAGGGATAATAAAACTAAGCCCTAGTCCAGGATTAAAAGGTTAAAAACTGCTTTTGTAGGCTCTGCGTTGTTTTAAGTGGCGAAGCAACATTAAGAGCAAAGGCATGCTAGACCTTCGGAAGTGTATCAAGATATCACGTTGGAAATCCCATTGGGAAGCTGGGTAGATCTCAGCTATCTGTGTAGTTTTTTCATTTGTCCTATACTCTGCAGTGTTTGATCGGCTCCTATTCGATGTAACTAAAATTATATCACGGCTAAGTCACATTGATATTAGGGTTAAATTAAGCGGTATTCGGGCTCTAAAATAGACGCGGCGGTGTAATATTTCATGTCGATTTTCATTATGGTCAAAAATGCTTCCTTCTATGAAATAGTTTTGGTAATCTCCGATAGATCTATCAGCCACCTGTTTCGAATGACAATTTTTGCTAAAATTTGCTTTCCTTCGTGAAGAATGTGTGGTTGTTGACATGAATATGTGACTAAAAAATGCTCCTTTATTTATTGATATAAGATCTCGTAAATAGACCAGACACTTCGTACACCTTCACTGATCGATAGTTCTGTGTGGGCAGGAATATATATAGACACGATAGTTTCCTTTTAGATTCGCGCGTATTTTTAAGGAATATTTTTATTTTCTTAGAACCATAGAAGACATTTCCCATTTTTTTTTCATAATATAATAATCAAATTCTCGAAAGTTATCCACACCCTCGACTTTTCTTATACCTTCTCTGCTCGTGTTTACCTGTCTTTAAATTTACGTACGTAATTCTGTTACCTTCCTCGATGTATGGATCTTCTCCTAATTTATTTAGGCTTGCCTCAAGACTTTGAACAATGCAGAAAAAGGCAATCAAGGCCAACGAAATCGTCATTTTCTCCATTTCTGAAGTGTCAAATCGAGACGGAAACACCGCAGGTTACTGTTTTGTCTTAAAAGCGAAACAATTTTGTACTCTTTTTAATCCGGAGTCGAGTCAGTGATAATTTACATAACGAAATTATGGCGCGATTTTCTATTAACCACAAAAAATTCGTTTTAATTCCCAAAAAATCTTTTTGTATTTATCTGCAATAAATTTTGATTGTCAAGACAAATTGAATATGCATTAATTGATCTCCCCGTTAAAAACGAGGATTGAAGGCAATGATTTTGGGAACAAAAACAGATGGGAATACGCTGAAATAGGATGGCATTCCACCGAAGTGTTACAAAAGTCTATCGCAGTAATTTCAGACTTACAAAACTGAAATTTCATATTTTTAGAGAAGTATTACGACTAAATTTTCATTCATAACGGGAAAATTTTAGCTCATTGTAATCATTAGTCAAGATAAATTGTACTAGGGGGTAAGTTTCTAAAGAAACAGTGGTGCTGCGTCGGTGGAAGAGTATGACAGGGTAATTAAATATTATCAACTGAGTTGATAACGTAAATTGACCATCGTAAAGAGTTTCAAAGCTGACGTTTCGAGCTTTAGCCCTTCGTCAGAGCAAGTGAATTGTACCAGCCTTTGGGAATAAACCCAATACCTAATTTGTTGCAATCGCAACAAATAACGTTCACTTGTGGTCAAGTAGGGTGATAGAGAATATCACCGCATATCATATTATACAAAACTGATAATACGATGGATTGGGGATTGGTTGAATTATCAGCTTTTTTAATTTGCGGGATCCTTATTTTTACTTTCCCTAGTCCGAAAATTTGATAAAAGTAAGTCCTACAAGGAAAATATTATGTAACCAATTTAGAGTTATTTCGTCAATAATGATAACGGATCAGCTGTCCGCGCAAAGTCATAAAAATTAT